ACTGAGGGGGGCAGTACCCAAAATTATGATAATACATATATAAAAATATATATTTATTTATTTATATGTCCAGACATGCCCCCTAGTATAGACTGTTGCAGGGTGAGGGCAGTACCCAACTCACATGCCAGCACCTGCGAACCAAATCCCAGTGTCTGCGAGCGAAGACCCCAAATCCGAAACAGTCAACATTGAACAACAGACCCTAGACAATGAACACTAAAATCCCTAAACCCTAAACCTGAAAGCCTGATGCTTAAACATTGCGCCCTAAACCGCAAGACACAAGTACATCCGCTGGATACCTCCACCTTCAAACAGAAGCTATCTACGAATGGCCCTCTTTCAGGTTGCATGCCAGTTTAACAGAAGGTGCAAGACCTGAAGCTAATGTATCATTTACGCGCGCATATCGAACAAACCCCTACAACACCCAAACAACACCCCATTGGGAGGAGGGCATATAGACCTTCAAGAGGATCCGTGGTTCAGGGTACGGGGTTAGGGTTTAGGTTCTGTATGTTGAGCTTTTCAGGTAACCCTGAACCCTTATGGGGAGTCTAGGCGTGCAGGGGAGAATGTTGGGATCCTGCAAAGCCGTACCCTCTTGCCAAAACTGCATGAAACACCCTTTCAGGAAGCGGGTCAAAACCCTCACAACCCTCTTAAGGGACGCCTGCCACCCAAACTCCTGGCAATCTGATTAGGGTTAAGGTTTGGGGTTCCGAGAATAGTCCAGGGTGTCTTCTTGGCATTTCGGAGGGCTCACTCGTGGCGTTTGTCTACGGCGAATTCGACTTCGTCATTTGCTGGGGGCCTGGGCTTGTCGAGAAGCAAGGGTCTTGTTCGGCGGATCCCTAGAATCCAAGCGGTGCGTGATTGTTGTTTCTGGGAGGTACCTGAATATCACAAAAAGCTACAACTAGTCACTACTCATTACTGCTGTGCTCGAGAGTCCCTACGTAGGGGCCCAAAATAAATGCCTTATCAAGAGTGGTACAATTTTTCTGTCAAAGTCTCAAAAGGGGTCAGTAGTGAATGATTGGCTTGATCATGCTTTGACACGGATCACTGGTTCAGTACGACCTCTGACAGGCTACCGTACAAAGATTTCAATTACCTCAACCACTTTTACGTGACGGCTGTGTCAAAACAAGGGTCCCGCTTACATTCGTCCAAAGTAAGGTTGGGACCCACAATTTGGACAATCTCCCCTGTCTTTCTCTGCTGTTTGGTGGTTGGGGCTAGATGGCTATTCTAGTCAAATCAAGTTCGCTTGTCTTCACAGACTTACTGGTTCTTGGTACGGAATGAGGGAATGCAATCCCTGAATATTCCCATTTTACATATTCCCACATTTCCTACTAAGCCCCCAACGGCACTAACAAGGGACCCGTACCTTTGAAATGCCT